AAAAAAACAAAAAAGCAAATCTAATATTCTTCATAAATTTCATAAATATAAAGTGTCTAGGATTTTTCTCTGTGAGCTCGTGAACCAAAAAATTCGAGTTTGTCCAGCCATGTCTAAATAATTTTTTTATATCTCAACATTTCGATCGTTCATACTTTTTTTTTTTTATCAATCGATCTACCTGTTAATGATATTTCATCACCGAAAGACGAAAATTTTTATAATAAACGCGTTCATTATAAAATTTTTTTAAAAATTTGGTTTAACCAGTTTTAAGCTCTAAAAGACTTTTTCGACAAAAATTGGCAAGTTAATAAAATTATATTTTTTTTTTTTTTTGTAATTAAGTATACGGCCAAATTTTTTTTGATTACAAAAATCTGCACAAATTTAAAGTGCCGGATTTCAACCGCGGCTGTGGATGAACGTTACCCTAAAGGATCAGAAAATAACGTTGAAAACGAAATCCCTTCATGCAATCGCAATTAACCCATATATAAATATAAAGTTTGAGGGTATTGGAGTTGTGCACACGTGAAAGAAGATGGTTATGTGAATAACGATGAGATATGAAGTAGCTGAGATAATTTCATCATCATTTTAAAATTTATGAAATAAATTTAAATTTCTTCTTTTTATGTTAACTCGTATAACTGTTTTTTAAAAAAATAAAAAAATAATATGTTGCAGAAAAATAAAAAATCAATTTAAAAGTAATCTATTATTAACAAAGCCAAGTTCTTTCAACCGCGCTTAATAAATCGAGTATACTGTAAACAATAATCTATAAATTTTACCAAGTTTGGGTTATTTGCGTTTTCAGTAAGTGAATATAATCTTCCAAATGAGAAATATATCATGTTATCCGTCCAAAAGAGAATTACCATAAGTAAAAAAGGGGAAATCTGAAATTTTTGCTAATTTTAGTTCTTAAACTAATTTTGAGTACATGACCGAGATCAGTCAAGTGGACCAATTAATAAAAAATTTTTCAAAATTTATATTCTTTTCTATTGACTGCCGCCCATATCATAAATTCACGAATATAGGCCTCGTCTATGAACGTAGAAAAGATTTTTAAATGATAGTTGGTTCTTTGCATAAAACCTTCTTTGCGAGGTCTATTGGAAAATGATAGATTTTTCTTGAAAATCAATAACGATTGCATCTTCGCTAGAATTCGTATTAATATTACTTTAAAAAAATATTATTAGTGTTGTCAAAACAAAAATTTCTTTTAAAAAAATTTTTTGAATGAATTGGATCTTGGAGGTTTTATTTCAGTAATAATTTGAGGATCATCCTTACATTATTGAATTTTTTTTTTTTTGTGGGAATACAATGCTAGAAGGTAGAGAAAAATAAAATGACGAAATATTTATATCAGTAAAATTACATTAAGATCTGATTGTTATATCTCATAACTGGCATTTTAAAAAATTGTGTTTCTCACAATCTCTTACTCTCTCCTAAAAAATAAAAATCACATCCTTTGAAGAACTGATTTTTTTTGGAATAATAAGTTCATTCCAGATTTCTACAAGTCGATTTGGTTCATAATTTTTTAATAAAATCAATTATATGGGAGGTTTGCTTTAAAATCACGTTACGGATCATATGATTTACTATGTTTGTAACTCGGATTTTAATAGCAAACGACCTATATGATAGAATCACAAATTTTGTAAAAGAGAAAGAATTAATATAACGTTTATTTTATTGACTCCAACGAAATAATTTTTTTTTTAAATAAAAAATTCATCGCTAAATCTGTGTCACAATTCCATAAGCACCCACAATCTAATTCTGAAGCAATTCTATAAAATCACCATAATCCTCTAAAACATCATAACGCTTTAGCACACCCTCCTCCTCATATTTTTTAAATACACTAATTAATTTCTCAAAATTCAATTTGTGACAAGGTTCTACATAGAAATTTAAAATGATCGGTTCCTGACCTCTCCAATTTTCGAAAAAGGCTTCCAAATCATCCTTTGAAACGTTATTCCGATACACATTCTAATTTCATGTAAGGAATCTGGAGCGATTTCAACCAATATATCAAATAATAATGATAAATTGAATATATTTGCAGTAGTTAACCCTTGAATGAAAATCTTTCGAAGCCGATGACATTTCATCAATAAATTTTCAAATTCCGTCGCAAATTCAGAAATGACCCCAAGGATAATGATTTGATATTCGGGCAATGCTCGTGAACCACACGAAGGTACTCTCCAGCAAGTTCATCATTAAAAGTATTATAAAGTAAGATCTTCGAGAGATTTCCTTCGGTCTTTT